TCGTGCGTACGAGTTAAGCGTGATTGTGTTTGTGGATGGTTGTGGACTCAACTATCGCCGTCATGGACTTGACGGACGTCTGAGACGCGTTTAGTCGTGTGCGACACGACGACCAACGTCATGGACTTGACGGACGTGGACTCGCCCCTAGTCATGGATTTGACTAGGGTATATGGCTGGACCCTATGGTGGACTGCACAGGGATATGATTGTATTTCCGTTGTGTCGTGGACTCGACATCGGTAGTCACGAGAGTGACGGGCGCAGGAGACGCGCACGATCGCATGTGATGCGATGGCCAACGTCACGCGGGTGACGGGCGTGGATTCGCTCCTGGGCCTGGACTTCGATGGCCAACGTCACGCGAGTGACGGGCGTGGGTTCGCTCCTGGTCATGGATTTGACCAGGGTATATGGCTAAGCCTTATGGTGGATTCCATACGGGCGTGTTTGTGTTTGCTATTGATGTGCTTATTGTGTTGGTATATTCGTTGCATGTGTATTTGGAAAATGTCGATTGTACCGTTCTCATTGAGAACGGGATTTCCGGGTTCAACCCGGGCTACTCACTAAGCAGTTGTGCTTAGCCCTTGTGGTTTACATTTTTCAAATCACGAGGATTACGCCTAGCGCCTCAGCAGACGACGAACCGAGAGAAGCAGCATCATGTACGGGATTTGTATTCAGAATCAAAGAACTTGTCGTTTCACTTTTGTACGGTTGTATTATGAATATTAGGACATGCGACTTTTGCGATACTAATCGCTTGTATTTCCCGCTGCTACTCTGATTTTAATTAAAAATGTTTTTTTTTGGATTTCGGAATTTTCGCTTCCGCCACTTATTAATTTGTTATTTTACTTAATATCGTCCATGTGGCACAACCCGTTTACTGTACACGGGTTACGGGTGTCACGACTTTTGGTATCAGAGCCACGTTCTTTCCTCGGGAAGGAATTGTGCTCATTACCCAACGGTTTTCTACGAAAAATGTTTTCAAACCATGTCCGAAGAAAATCCTCACCGGTAGAGGTCCGTACAATGGCGATGCAACTATCGGTCGTCAGTCGCTAAATTTCTTTTTGTGCTGCAGTGAAATGGCGCCACGACGTATTAGACCTGCAGCGAGAGTTGATGACATCCCGGACCAAGTCCCACCACCTAACCCGGGGGATGAAGGGTGGAGGGCCGAGTTCCGCCAGTTCCAAGAGACTGTGTGGCAGCACCTGGCTGCCCACGCCCCACCACCACCTCCGGCGAGGGACCGAGAGCCGAGGGAGGAGGACTTTCATCAGCCGCCGATACATGTTGCGACAGCGTAATACCTTCCCATCGTCAAGGAGCTGCGGGCGATGCATACCCCACGCTTTGAGGGATCGGCGAGACCGGAAGCTGCAGAGGAGTGGTTCGCCCAGATCTCTCAGGACTTGGAGTACTTGCAGTGCCCGTATCAGTACCGGGCCATGATTGCGAGCCATCACCTGTCGGGCCAAGCCCGACATTGGTGGGGAAAGGTGGTGCAGGAGGCACCCGCGGGACATCGCTTTACCTGGGAGGAGTTCCAACAGGAATTCGAGGCGAAATACTTCCAACAACAGGACCAGGAGTACCGGATGATAGAATTCCTCATGTTGCAGCAAGGAGATATGACTGTCAGCGATTACGAGGCGAAGTTTACCCGCCTACTGAGGTATGGAGGGCATCTGGTGCCCACCGAGGCGTCGAAGATCCAGAAGTTCGTTGCTGGACTCCGACCCTACCTACGAAGGAGAATCGAGATCCAGGAGTACCCGACGCTGAGTCGGTATATCGCCCAGCTGGAGAAGGTGGAACGTGGAGAGCAAGAGGAGAATGAGGGGAAGATCCGTGAGCGGAGCCCCGCTGGGAGATACTTCGGTGCGGGTTCATCTGGGAAGAACGCTCGAAACCATGACCCGCGTGACAAGGGCAAGGCGCCGGCTGTTCGTGCGCCGCCACCACCACCGATGGCTAGGGGTCCAGTGGTATGCTACCGTTGCGACCAGCCGGGGCACATTGCGTCTCGTTGTCCAACGAGACCCATGGGACCACCGGCAGTGGCACCGAGGCCTCCACGACCACCAGGCCGGGCAGACAGACCGCCCCGACCCCCGGCGAGGGTAGGGATCGCCCCCAGAGTCTATGCCCTCGATGCTGAGCGAGACATCCAGGAGGAGGAGGAAGCTTGTCCAGAAGAAGCGGAGGCTGCAGTGATCGCAGGTACCTTTCTAATTATATTGGGTGATTTCGTTGTTGGTGTGGGACAACCCCACTATTATTTGAATACAAACGTAACAAGGACTATCGCAGGTACCCTCTGCTTATACGGGGTGCCCTGTTATACCTTGTTTGACATGGGAGCGACTCATAGTTTCGTGAGTACGAACTTAGTGGATGTGATCGGTACAAGGGATATAGAGCCGAGGAATGACTTCACCGTGCGCATACCTTCGGGAGACACCTTGACAGTGCACGGGGTCCTACGAGGCATACCCCTTGAGGTTTGCGGTCGTCTACTAACCACAGATCTCAGTGTGGTACCTATCGGAGGATTTGATGTTATTCTGGGCATGGATTGGCTGATGAGATACCAAGCCCACATCGATTGCCCGAGGACAATCTGGTTTGCGGACGAATTCGGAGGGTTCGAGTTCCGAGGTCGAGGAGCATCGGCAGCGGAACCGATCATCTCGGCGCTGAAAGCCGAGAAGATGATCCGGAACGGCAGCGAAGCATTCCTGGTAGTCATTACAACTACACAGGAATCGGGGGAGAGACTAGAGGATACTGCTGTTGCCCGGGAGTTTCCAGATGTATTCCCTGACGACCTGCCAGGAGTACCGCCCCGTCGGGAAGTCGACTTCAGTATAGATGTGCTACCCGGTACCGAGCCAATCTCCAAGGCTCCGTATCAGATGGCACCTACGAAGATGGCTGAATTGAAGAAGTAGCTGAACGAATTGGTGGAGCAGGGTTTTATTCGCCCTAGCGTTTCGCCGTGGGGAGCACCGGTACTCTTCGTGAAGAAGAAGGACGGGAGTATGCGATTGTGCATCGACTACCGAGGGCTTAACCAAGTGACTATTAAGAATCGGTATCCGCTACCGAGGATTGATGAGTTGCTAGATCAGCTACAGGGAGCCCGATGGTTTTCGAAGATCGATCTCCGATCCGGATATCATCAGATTCGGGGTAAGGAGGATGACATACAGAAGACGGCTTTCCGGACGAGGTATGGACACTTCGAGTTCGTGGTCATGCCTTTCGGGCTCACGAACGCGCCTGCAGTGTTCATGCAACTGATGAACCGCGTATTCATGGACTACTTGGATGATTTCGTCATCATTTTCATTGATGACCTCCTTATTTACTCGCCGGATCCGCAGACACATGAGGAACACCTGCGAAAGATATTGTGGAGATTGAGGGAGAACCGGCTATACGCGAAGTTCTGTAAGTGCAATTTCTGGCTACAGGAGATCGGATTCCTGGGACATGTGGTATCGGCCCGAGGCATTCAGGTCGATCCAGCAAAGATCGAGGCTGTCATGGAGTGGCAGTCCCCGGCTTCCGCGATGGAAGTCATGAGCTTTTTGGGGCTAGCCGGTTATTAACGACGATTCGTCGAGGGATTCGCCAAGATCGCTCGACCCATGACAAAGCTGACGGGGAAGAACGTCAGATTCGAGTGGACGGCAGAGTGCGAGGAGAGCTTCGGAGAATTGAAGCGGAGATTGACATCAGCGCCGATCCTGGCCTTACCACGACCCGGAATACTGTATGAGGTATACACTGATGCATCCAGGCACAGACTCGGTTGCGTGTTGATGCAGGAGGGGCACGTGATCGCTTACGCGTCGAGGCAGCTGAAGAAACACGAGGCGAACTACCCGACGCATGACATGGAGTTGGCAGCGGTAGTTCACGCGATGAAGATCTGGAGATCGTATCTGTATGGGGAGAAAGTTAAGCTCAACACAGATCACAAGAGCTTGACTTATGTGATATCTCAAAAGGATCTGAACCTGAGACAGCGAAGATGGCTGGAGCTGATTGCAGATTACGATCTGGAGATAGCCTACCACCCGGGGAAGGCTAACGTAGTGGCCGACGCCCTTAGTCGGAAGAAGATCTTAGCGGCCATACGTGTTGTCACCGCATCTCGCAGCAACGCCGAGGAGTTGACTGCGATGTTGGGACACCTCTCATTGACAGCAGAAGAGTCGACGCCGACTCTGATAGAACGCGCAGTCATGGGACAACGCGGTGATCCATTACTCGCTCGATACATGGATCACATTGAGGAATATAGCCTTAAGGGCTACCACATCGACGAGCAGGGAGCGTTGAGACTGGGGAACCGACTATGTGTGCCCGACGACCCAGAGCTGAGGCATGAGATTTTGTCGGAGGCACATCAGTCAAGGTTAGCGATACATCCCGGACCGAGCAAGATGTACCAAGGGCTGCGACAGTGGTATACTTGGCCGAGAGTCAAGAGAGATGTGGCAGACTATGTAGCGAGATGCCTCACTTGCCAGCAAGTGAAGGCAGAGCGACAAATGCCGGGAGGGAAGTTACAACCGCTGGAGATACCTGAGTGGAAGTGGGATTCGATCGCCATGGACTTCGTGGTCGGATTACCACTCACGCCCAGCAAGAAGAACACCATTTGGGTAGTCGTGAACCGATTAACCAAATCCGCTCATTTCCTCCCTATCCGGTAGGAATATCCGATTGAGAGGTTGGCACAGATCTACATCGACGAGATCGTGCGTCTACATGGGGTTTCGAACGAGATCATCTCCGTCCGAGACGCCCGATTCACATCACGACTGTGGAAGGCGATACAGGAGGCTCTGGGGACGAAGCTCAAGATGAGCACAGCATACTAACCTCAGACGGACGGTCAGTCGGAGCGGACGATACAGACTCTAGAGGACATGCTCCGAGCGTGTATTATGTAGTGGGGAGCTCCGTAGGACCAGTACATGACGTTGTGTGAATTTGCGTACAACAACAGCCATCACATGAGCATCGGAGTATCTCCATACGAGGCCTTGTACGGGAGACCGTGCAAGACACCGTTGTGCTGGACAAAGATCGGGGAGCGACGAGAGTTTGGGCCGGAGATTATGGAGGAAACCACCGAGGTGATACGGAGGATTCGCACCCATCTGAAGATGGCGCAGGACCGACAGAAGTCGTGCGCCGATCGACGACGTCGGGACTTCGAGCTTGAGGTCGGGGATTACGCTTTTCTTTGGGTGCAGGCAATGCGGGGTCATGCGAGGTTCGGGCAGAGCAGGAAGCTGAAGCCGCGCTACATCGGACCTTATCCCGTGATCGCGAGAGTTGGGGCTGTTTCATACCGTCTCGGATTACCTCCGGAACTAGGCAACATCCATGATGTGTTCCACGTGTCGATGCTACGGAGGTACGTAGCGGACCCTTCCCACGTGATACAGCCCCCGGAGTTGGAGTTCCCGGAGGCTACGCGTTTCCGCGACGAGTGATAACTCCTATTCTTCTCTATATTTTGATGAGAGTTTGTCTAGGTTTTACAGGATAATCACATGCATTCATAGACATTCTAGGCGTGTTAGGATACAAAACCCGGTTGTGCTCTAGTTTTGCAGAGTTACAGGTTTCGAAGATGATTGGACTCGAAAAGGAGCTAATTGGAATGTTAAAGGAGAAGTCCGGATGAGATGCTCATGTTGCGACATCAATAACGTTCTCTACAGAGGTCCAAATCGTGCGAGACTTATACCATTGGAAAGATCACTTCAAGAGCTTCACGTGGACACCAAAATAGCGTTCTTTATGCATCTAGGGTTAACTTGAATAGATCGAGAGATTGACGAGTTACTCTGTAGGTAGGGAGTTAGTAGACCGAGAGGTGAATTCTCTATCTTTGTTGCTTGATGATTCCCGAATACAAGTCATAATCGTTATTCATGCATGCTTAGTAAATACCCATACAGCGAATACGATCCCGACACCCGTAGTCATCCTTGTTTGATAGGTTACTCGTTTTAATTTACTTTCTCATATTGCTTACCATTGATTCTACATATTTCCACCATCACTTGCTTGCTTGCTTTGATCTATTTTCGATCTAGATTTGGATTTAGCAACCGGTCCTTGTGTTCGACCCCGTGTTACGACGATCCGTATCCTTGCAGTGAGTTGTGAATCGGGTTATAGATTTTAGACTCGGTACACACGTATCAAGTTTTTGGCGCCGCTGCCGGGGTCTGGTTAGCCTATTTCTAGGTCTTTATTGATTCTAGATCCTAGCTTGTCTTCTTTTTCTTTTTTGTTTTTCTTTCTTTAGTTTTTGCGGATTCACTTGGTTTCGAGTTCTTC